GAGGAGAACAAGAAGAGCACAGAAAAAAACTTTAGAAGAATTCAGGAAACCACTACAAGAAGAAGCAAACAAAATCAATGCAAATTTTCAAACAATAAGAAACCTACAATTAGAAATCCAGAAAATTAATTCTAACATTTCAGAAATGGACAATACATTGAAAAGGCAAATGAGAAAATTCAAAGCAACAGAATCACAAATTAGGGAGCTTGGAGATAATCTTTCAATACTAAAATGCTAGAAGAACAATCAGAAAAAAGAATGAACTATCTGAAGAAAGCCTCCGAGTTATGTGGGACACCCAGAAGAGGAATAACTTATGGGTGATCAGAATTCCAGAATAGGAAGGGATATTAAATAAAGCATCAAGAAAACTATAGTAGAGTTGTTGGGAAAAAATAAAGTTGCCTAATATCATGAAAGACAAGAAGTAAGTATACAAGAAGCTAAATGAATTCCAAACAGGATTAACCACAAAAGAAAATCACCAAGACATATCATAACCAAACTTTCCAAAATCAATGACAAAGAATTCTGAGAGCAGCTCAGGAAAAACAGAAGTTACTTACAAAGGGGAACCAATAAGACTATGCTCTGATTTCTCAGCAGAAACCATGTAGGCAAGAAGGCAATGGAATGACAAATACAAAACTCTGAAAAACAAAAAAAATGCCCATTATGGTATTTGCCCAACAAACCTGTCCCCTCAAATACAACAGTGAAATTAGGTCATTTCCAGCTGAACAGAAATTAAAGGATTTTTAAATGACCATAAAAACATTACAAAAAATTCTAAAGGGTATTCTTTGCATTGAGAACCAACAACAGCAGACAACACCCTGAGATTACCAGACATGACAACACTACATAAAACTCAACCCAGATATAGAAGTATTTAAAACAAAACAAACCTACTGTGGCACTGTGGGCTATTGTGTCAGTCTGCAAAGTTATTTGAACTGCAAGGTCAGTGGTTCAAGCTCACCAGCTGCTCTTTGGTAACCCTATACAGGGTCGCTTTGGGTTGGAATTGACTTGGCGGCACTTAACAACAACAACCAGACTGATAATAGTGAACCAGAGATATCCATTTATAATTAAGTCAGCTACAAAGCAAAAAAGAAGCAATAGTGCAGATATAGAACTTCCAAATGGCTAGGAAGTCAAGCAAATTTCAAACTAAAGCAGACTGTTTTAAACTGGGGGGAAAATTAATGGAGTCCTGGTGTGTCACTCTGGGTTAATATGTTGGACTGCAAGATCAGTAGTTCAAGCAACCCAGCTGCTTCTCGGAAACCCTATATAGGGTCGCTATGAGTTGGTACCAACTGGACAGCACTTAACAACAGCAACAACTGTAATTTATCCTAGAAACCAATATATCTGTACATCAAAATACAAAAAAGAGGAAAATCAGAAAGATTTAGTAAACATTAACAAAATAGAAATGGAAATGAAAAGAAAACTCACAAACAAAACAAACTTAGAGCACAAAATTATGTGGAACAAAGAAACCAGAAGCACCACAGGAAAAACACAAAACAAAAGGACAGCAATCAATTCATACCTATCAATAATTATACTGAATGAAAATGTATTAGGTGAACCAGTCAAGAGACAGAACAGAATGGATAAGAAAACAGGATCCTTCAATATGTGGTCTACAAAAGACATTTAGACAGCCTAAATGTCCATCAACTGAAGAACAGTTATACAAACTTTGGTACACACACACACAATGGAATAGTACACAACAATAGAAGATAATGATGAATCTGCAAAGCACCTCCCAACATGCATGAATGGAGGACATTATGGCTCAGTGAAATTGGTCAGTCACTAAAGGAAAAGTATTGTTGAGACCAATGCTGTAAAATTTAAGAAAAGGTTTTATTAACAAAAGAAAAAAAATCTATGATGGTCGCAAATCGGAGTGAGAGAGGGGAGGGAAAATTATTCAGGAGCTAGAGGTAGACATATGTGACAAGGCAGGCAATATACAACAAGATGGTGGATAGCAGATAGAAAACGAAGGTAGTGGGAGACACTGGGAAGAACAAAGTAGTTCAAAGCAAATGCTGTTAAAAAGTGGTACATGGGAGGGACTGGACTCATTGTCATGAAGCAATGTGGTCCTGATAAGGCAGCAGGATCGCGTCATCAGTTTGAGCCGCAAAGTCAGTGGTTCAAATCTACCAGCCGCTCCTTAGAAACTGCATACAGGGTCATTATGAGTCAGAACTGACTCGATGGAACTTAACAACACATGGATTTGCAGACACAGGGATTCCTGGTGTGGTGCAATAGGATAACCATTGGACTGCTAACCATAAAGTCAGTGGCTCAAATCCACCAGCTGCTCCTTGAAAACCCTATACAGTGTCTCTATGAGTCGGAATCACTTAACAGCAACAACAGTACACACACCTACACCCACACGAACATGGTAAGAATAAAACATAAACCTAAATTGTTGAGGTGGAATAACTGATGCATACTTTTATCTAGCATTTAATTAAATAATGTGGTGATGATCGCAATGTTGTTATTGTTAAGTATTGTTGAGTCCATTCTGAATCATATAAGGTTTCCGAGGAACTGCTGGTGAGTTTGAACTGCCAACCTTGTGGTTCAAATCGACCTTGGGGTGCATTCATTGCTTTACCAGCAGCGTCACAGCAGCCATAGGCGATATTTACTGAACAGCTGGTATGCACCAGTCACTGTTGTAAATCTGGTTACAATATAGCTAAATGTTTCTATAATGTGATTGGTCTAAAAAATATTTATTTTAAAAACAACAACAAAACCCAAATGGTCTAGATGACATTCTGGTGAAAATTAAACATCTGAGAAAAACGTGAAAGCTGACTGGAATATGGATGCACATGAATTTCTAATTATGTTTTTTCATACTATGAAACAGCCCAGTGTTCTATAGATGTGTCTCAGGATTAACAACTATCTCTGTGATGGTGGATATGTTCATTTTTAGAAACTTACCAGCGGGGTGTCTTTTCCTCCCACAATGCTGAGACCAAGGCCTGAGCGTCCCTTGGATATTTCTATAATCATTTCCTGGCCAGGGACAATTGGGCACGTTGCAGGATCCACTGATAGAGGTGCCTGGAAGTCATCTGAAAAAGAATGAACACAGAACGAGTGTCAAGGACATGCAGCTCAGTCTGCACAGGCCATTGGCTGGGATCTGCAGGGTTTGGAGCTGCTATCATTTCACTCATTCTCTGCCAAGCGCTCTGATGGGAAGAGGCCCCGTCAGGATGGCCCTGTCACCCAGGATGAAACACGATACTCCTACGAGACTTTTGATTTAAAAAAGTAACTATCCCCTAGCCTCCCATCCCAAACCATCAACCTTGGATTTCTAGAAATTCTGTTAAACATGGAATTTTTAAAATCTCAAAATATACCACGAAATCCGGTACAGGAAAAATTAAAGGTATTAAATTATTGAGTACTTACTGGTATATGAAATAATGAGAATGAAAGCTGATAGGACAAAAGATTCTGGATTGTAGAAGAACAGTTCAGAAATGTTTATAAACTTTCAATTAAAGCACAACATAAAAATTAAGAAGTATACAGGATTTAATTAGTAAAGTAAAATGTACCAAAATAACTATCCCCCAAACCTCCCCAAATATGTTATATATAATAAAATACTAGACACAGAACACTCAAGAATGAACTGTTGTGTCTATAAATGAAAAGCTTCTTAAAAGAGTTATTACTATATTACAAAGCTTTCTTTTTTCAAAAAAGCAATGCTTTAGGATCGGGTTTTTTTTTTAAAGAATTAAAGAAAATAAAAGTGTTTACAGATTAAGAAGAGTTGGTTAGGAATACCCCAAATCCTTGTTGTTGCTGGCTATCACTGAGTCAGTTCGTTCTCACAGCCTAGTGTGTAGTACAGAACGTCCCATGGGTTTTATTGGATGCAATCCTTACAGAAGAAGATGACCATGTCTCTCTCCATTGGACCACTGAGTGGGTTTGAATCGCCAACAATTCAACCAACAACAGAGCTCTTAACAGTTGCAAAAATTCTACATAAAAGAAGGCTTCTAAAAGTTCATGAAAACAATCCACTCTTTTCATTCCATCTTTCCATATCTTTTTGAAGCACCCACTTCTACATATATTTTCCTGATGACTGAAACTAACCACTAGAAAATCAAAATGTTGGAAATGTTCAGCAACTTTAGGGAAATCTTGTACACAGAATTGCCTTCTGAGAAAACTAAGGGTGACTATTATGAATATTGATTCTTTGTGATTTGTTTTGAGATAATACAGCAAAAACTGGTAATAAGGGTCCCAGTTGCTTGGCAGATACAACCAATGCACAGGGGCTAAGATCAGATTCACAATGCTCCTTGTGGTTAGGTGCTGCAGTGTTGATTCCAACTCATAGCAACCCTATAAGCAACAGAACAAAACACTGCCAAATCTTGTGCCATCCCCACTACTGTTAGTACTCTTAAGCCCACTGCTGCTGCCACTGTGCCAATCCATCTTCTTGGGGAACGTTCTCTTTTTGGGTGACCCTCTAACTTTACCAAGCATGATGTCCTTTTGGAGATACTGATCCCTCCTGAATGTCTGAAATACCAGAAATAAAGTTTCCCCATCCTCACTTCTATGAGCATTCTGGCTGTACTTCTTAGAATATAGATTTGTTTGTTCTTCTGACAGTCCATGGTACTTTTAATATTCATCTCCAACACTATAACTCAAATGCATTAATTCTTCTATGGTCTTCCTTATTCACTGTCCAACTTTCACAAGCATATGAGGCAACTGAAAATACCATGTCTTGAGTCAGGCACACCTTTGTCCTAAAACTGACATTTTTGCTCTTGAACACGTTGAATAGGTCTTGGGCAACATATTTGCCTGATGCAGTATGTTGTTTGATTTCTTAACTGCTGCTTCCATGAGTATTGATTGCAGAACCAAGCAAAATGAACTGTTGGATAATTTCCATCTTTTCTCCATTTGTCATAGTGTTACTTATTGGTGCAGTTTTGTGGATTTTTGTGTTGGCTACCTATATTAAAAGTTGTGATCTTTGATCTTCATTAATATTTAAGTCCTCTTCACTTCCAGTAAGCAAGGTTGTATCATCTACATATTGCAGGCTGTTAATGACTCTTCCTCTAATCCTGACGCCATGCTCTCCTTCATATAGTCCAATTTCTCAGATTATTTGCCCAGCATACAGGATGAGCCATTTAGTAATTCCTTGTTCTGTTTGAATGACTGTCTCTTAGTCTGTGTACAGGTTCTTCATGAGCACAATTAAGCATTCTGGAATACTCATTCTCCCCAGTGTTATCCATAGCTAGTCACGATCCACTCAAGGCTCCTTGTTGTTATTGTTGTTAAGTGCCATCAAGTCAATTCTAACCCATAGTGACCCTGTATAGGGTTTCCAAGGAGCAGCTGGTGAGCTTGAACCACCAACCTTATAGGCCAAATGATTTTGCAGTCTGACACATTAACCCACAGCACCACACCAGGACTCCTCAATGCTTCTTAAGCCCATGTAAAAACAGGAGTACGAATCTAATGACCAAGAATGGTTTTTGTAGTTTTTAAAGTTGGGAAAGGAAACAAACAACAAAAAAAGGAAAAATAATATATTTTGTGGCATTCAGAAATTATATGAAATGTAAGTCAGTGATCATAAATAAATTTACATTGGAACACAATCAAATTTATGCCCAGTCTACAAACAACTCCACACTACAGTGAAAGAACTGGACACTGCATGGGGCCACAAGCCTGAAATACTCACTGTTTCATCAGAAAAACGAAATGGGCTCTATTGATTCCTGTGAGGGGCTCTGCTCTAATTAATAACCTAGAACTTTATGTCAAAAAGTTATAGGTTTTCGAATGTTGAAGGCAAGGATTTGTGAAATTAAATTGTAAGTGACACTGGAGCTCATTCCTTGCCAGCAAATTACATGTCTCCTCTATCCAACAGCCTGTTAAAGTAATTAAACAGAATATGTGTGAGGTGCCCTGCCCAGTGTCTGGCAAATTATAAGTATTTATTATTCACAGTAGAATTTATCAATCTAATGGATTCCTGAGCCCTGGTGTGACACTGTAGGGTAAGCACTGAACTGGTGTTGGCAGTTCAAACATACCAATCTCTCTTTTAAGCCCTATACAGGGTTGCTGTGAGTCAGAACTGACTCAATGGCACACAGCAATAGCAACACACAACAATAACAAGAGATTCTTTGCTAAGTGTTAAAAATTTAGTGACACAAAAATTAGTAGAAACTAAAAGCACAAATTAGAAGTAGAATATTAATTTGTAAACTAGTTTATCTGTAGATCTTGTTGTAGAATATCTTTTTCACACTAAATAGTTCCCATTAATTTATAATAAATACGATTTACAATAGTGGCCCAATTAAAAAAAATTTTTAAAGTTTATATACCTTTTAAAATTATCTTTTAAAACATGGTCTCTTGAGTGAGAAAAGAAAGCAAGCCAGTTCTGGAGATGGCATTTGCTCGTCCACTTTCGTCTTACCCTAGCTAGTCCTGAAGGAGCCTGGTAGTGTGGTGGATTACATGTTGGGCTGCTACCCTCAAGGTCAGCAGTTTGAGTCCACCAGTTACTTAATGCAAGGAGGTTGAAGCTTTCTGCTCACGTAAAGATTTATAGCCTCTGAAACCTTACACAGGGTCTCTATGAGTCAGAACCTACTCCACGGCACACAGCCAGCCAGCCAGCCAGCTCATCCTGAGTCTCTGTACTTTTTTCTCTCATATGAGCCCCAAACAGGACTCATACCAAGCTCTGAATACATGCTTGGTAATGGATGACTGAATGAATAAAATTCCACATATTAACTGGTGGGATGACTAATATCCGTTATTTAGGATTTTGTTGCTTGGTTATACGAATGAGCTCTGGTGGCACAGTGGGTTAATAAGCATTGGGCTGCTAACCTAAAGATCAGTGTTCAAACCTACCAGCCAGTCTGGGAAAGCTGAGACAGTCGGCTTCCATCTAGATTCACAACTCAGAACTACTATGCAGGGACTCTACTCTGCCCCTTAGGGTTGCTTTGATACAGAATCAACCTGATGGTGGTTGAGTTTTATTATTAGGAACAGTAAAGTCAATTTAGACTTATAGAGACCCCATGTGACAGAGCTGAACTACACTGTAAGGTGTTCTAGGTTGTAATCTTTATGGCAGCAGGTTGCCAAATCTTTTTCCCAAACATTTGCTAATCTTTTTATGGTTGTCAAGTGCCGTCGAGTTGGTTCAACTCACAGCAATCCTGTATGTGGTTGGTTTGAACTGCCAACCTGGTGGTTCTCAGTCCAGTGCTGATCCTAGAATACCACACAGCAAGCATTTAAACACTGTGTCACATATAAATATGTGATATATATTGTCTAAACTCAATGGACCTTAGAGAATAAAATTCAGATTTGTAAAGACCACACTAACTGAACTGACAAAAACCAGAGGAACCCTCAAGACTACTGTCCTAAGATGTCCTCAATCCCAGAGGTACCTTTCAGTCAAATAATAGCTTGGCCAATAAAGTAAACAGTAACACCCCTGGTGAACGTGCTCTTCTAAATAATCAACTAAACAAGACCAAATGGTCAACATTTATCCAAAAGTGAAGAAGAGAGGGGAAGGAGGGGAAGGGAAGTTGGATAGAAGGGGCAAGCCAGTAGAAATGGCAGGTAAGAATACTAACATATTGCGAGGATTGTTTTCAATGTAATGGAATCATTGGTGTAAGAATTGATAAATGGGAATCTAATTAGCTGTGTAGACTTTCACCTAAACTGCAAGAAAATACTGAACAACAACAAAAAAATGCAATAGGTCTATACCAGAGGTCAACAGACTTTTTTGGTAATAAGATCAGATGATGTTGTTAAGTGCTGTTGAGTCAGTTGCTACTCATAGCAACCCTGTATAGGGTTCCCAAGGAGCAGTTGGTGAGTCTGAACTTGAGGTCTAGTGCTTTATTCTAGAGCGCCGCACCAGGATTCCCCAAGGTCAGGCAGTAAATACAATCTCTGCGAATGTAAATGAGAGCTGCTTCAATAAATCTTAATTTATGAACACTGAAATCTAAATTTCATACACTTTTATGAAATATTCTCAAAAAATTTTTCTTTAATTCTTTAAAATGTGAAAAGTATTTTTAGCCAGAGGGTCATACAAATATAGATGGTAGACCAGATTTGACTTATTTTCAGCCAGAGGACCATACAAATAAATAGGTGGACCAGATTTGGCCCCTGGGCCATAGTTTGCTGACCACATTTATCGAATATTTTATTTAAAAAATTAAATGTGTAAAAATAATTGCTGTTTGGTAAACTTTTAATTAGTTAATATTTATGGGAAAATATATGAAAGATACCATAAAGGTTTCAAACCTGCTAAATTAGTACAGTTTTATATTTTTGTGACTGTTAAGTATAGTGTTTTAAATAGCCCACTTTCTACTAACTTGTATAGCATGAATACAAAGTGAAAATACCCATTACTCATTTGGAAGTTCTAGTTTCAACCCTCAATCAACATAATTCAAGCCAGAAATTCCAAGACAAAAAGGGAATATCAATTTCTTAAAGCACTGAAAATTAGCAGTCTTTAAATACCATACATCAACATTTGCAAGCCTAAAAATACGGTTTAGTTGTGTTTTTAAGAGATTTTACTCAGTAACTAAAACAATCTTTTTGAGAAATTACAGAAAATGAATTTGGAAGCCTCTGATTCACATCACATTTACTCAGGGCCTGCTGGTGCTATGGGTTGACTGCTAATGAAAACGTTGGTGGTTCAAACTTAACAGTCACACAAGGGAGAAAGATGAAGCTATCTGCTACCATGAGGATTTACCGTCTTAAAAATCCAATATAGGCTTGCTATGTGTCAGAAATAACACATAGTAGTGTGTGTGGTTGTGCTGTAGGCTAATGCATCAGACTGCAAAGTTGTTTGAACTGCAAACTCGGTGGTTCAAACACACCAGTTACTCCTTGGAAACCCTATACAGGATCGCTACGGGTTGGAATCGCCTCTAAGGCAATTAACAACAACAGTGTGTGTGTGTGTGTGTGTGTGTGTGTGTGTGTGAGGGAGGTAGGGAGGTGGGGAGCTGTTGTGTTCTAGTACTTTTCTATTCAAGTAAACAACAGGCAAAGAACATTATTCCAATGACAGGGATTAAGAAAATGGTGTAGGAGGTGAAGTGATCTATGCAAGTCCCAAAGCTGAGGAGGAGGAGCTGGGATGCAAAATCAGCTTGCTGACTCCCAGCCCAGGGCTACTTTCACTACATCAGGACCACTTCCTCCAAATGAGCCAGTCCTGCACAGAGAAACAAAAAGACTCATACCGTAAGCTGTGGGGTCTGCATCTGTTGAATACTTCGATGGAGCTGGTGATAATGTGTCACGTAAAATGACGGAGACTTCTGCTGAATAATTTTGCTGTTTTTTCTCATTAGCAGCCTAAAAAAGGAAAGACAAATGTCAAGAGAATAAATTAAAATAAATTTACTGTTATCAATACAATGATGTACTCTAATATTGCCTTTTGAGATTGCAGGGTGGGGGAATGGGAGAAGGAAGTTTGGATGAATTTTGCCCCATTCCTCATGCTTTTTTTACATTTTACAAGTAAAAATGCTTCAGTAAAGAATGGTCCCAGGTAAGAAGGAAGGAAAAAGCTGAAGTCATTTTATGGGCTAGATATGAAGCTGGGGTGTGAATTCAAAAAATACAAAAAAATACATATTTTTTTTTGTTTGTTTTTACAATTTTTAGTTATTCTGATAAGATCAGTGGGACACTTACCTATCTAGTCTGTGCTCCGTGAACAAAATCTACACTACAGATGTTCTATGCTTATAACACTGTCCCTCTCTCCTGAGCAGATATTGACAAAGCTAAATATGCATTAGGTAGATTAATTGAGCAAACTGCTGGCTGGAAAAGAAAAATATGAACATCTGATGAAAATTTCCACCACATATCTGTCAGTTTTTCATACTGTAATGGCTCGCGTGTTGCTGTGATTCTGGAAATGATGTTACCGGTAATTTAGAAACCAGTAGGGTCACACACGGTGGACAGGTTTCAAATGAGCTTACAGATTAACACAGACTAGGAAAGAGAGATGGACTACTTCCAAATATTTAGTCACTGACAACCTTTATGAATAACAGTGCAACACTGTCAGATAGCATCAGAATATTGAACATTGAAACATTATGAAGAGCACCAGAATACTGTCAGAGATAGTGCTGGAAGATGAGCACCTCAGGTTGGGAGGCACTCAAATTAGGACTGGGGAAGGGATGCCTCATCAAAGTAGAGTTACCCATGATGACGCATAAGGAGTAAAGCTTTTAGGACCTTCATTTGCTGATGGTGTACAAAGAAAATGATGAAAAACAGATGTGAACACCCATTACTAAGTGGAACATGGAATGAATGAAGAATGAATCTAGAAAAATGGGAAGCTGTCAAAAATGAAATGGAAGACATAAACATCAATATCCTAAGTATTACTGATTGAAATGGACTGCTATTGGCAATTTTGAATGTAACAATCATATGGTTTACTATGCCACGAATAAAAAAAAAAAATGAACAGGAATGACATTGCATTCATCATCAAAAAGAACATTTCAAGATCTTACTTGAAGGCCAATACTGTCTATGAGAGAATAATATCCAAACGCCTACAAGGAAGACCAGTTAATACTACTACTATTAAATTTACTCAACAACCAATAAAGCAAGTGATGATGAAATTAAAGAATTCTACCATCATCTTCAAGGAGCTCTGGTAGCGTAGTGGTTACGAATTGGGCTGTTAACCACAAGGTCAGCAGTTCAAAACTACCAGCTGTTCCGCAGGAGAAAGATGAGGCTTTCTGCTCCCATAAAGATTCACAGCTTCGGAAACCCTGTGCAGGGTCACTATGAGTAGGAACCGACTCCACGGCACATAACAACAACAATAACAACACCATCATCTTCAGTTAGGAATTGATCAAACATGCAATCAAGACATACTGAAAATTACTGGCAATGGAAATGCAAAGGTTAGAAACAAAGCGGAGGGTTCAGTCATTGGAAAATATGTTAGACAGCCATTGGTGATAGAAACAATGCTGGAGATATCATGATAGAATTTTATAAGAAAAATGACTTCTTCATTGTAAATACCTCTATTAAACCACATAAAAGATTATTATACACATGGACCTCCACAGACGGAATAAACAGAAATTAAACTGACTACATCTGTGCAAAGAGATGGTGGAAAAGTTCTATATTATCATACAAAACAAGTCGAGGGGCAGACTGTGGAACAGAGCATCAATTGCTCCTATGTAAGTTCAGGCTGATGCTGAAGAAAATTAAACCAAGTCCACAAGAGCCAAAATATGACTATGAATATACCCCACCTGAATTTAGAGATCATCTGAAAAATAGAATGTTGCATTAGCCACTAAAGACTGAAGACCAGAAGAGTTGTAGGATGACAGCAAGAACATTATACAGGAAGAAAGCAAAAGGTCATTAAGAAGACAAGAAGGAAAAGACCAAAATGATGTCAGAAGAGATGCTGAAACTTGCTCTCCAGCATAGAGATGCTTGAATTTTTTTCCTCAGTCCCTCCGCTTGAGAAATTCTGAGTGTGTTCGTCCTTTCAGTTCTCTAATTTCAAGTCTTGGGCATTTTGTAATATTGTACTCTGTCTTCTTGAGCTGACCTTCGAAATTTTTTGTTCAGCTCTTTTACCTCCTAATTTCTTCCATCTGTTTTAGTATCTCTATGATGGAGAGAGGAGGACATGGAATGAGAGATATCATTGCTGATGTCAAATGGATCTTGGCTGAAAGCAAATGGATCTAAGCTGAAAGCAAAAAACCCTAGAAAGATGTCTACTTGTGATTTATTGATTATGCAAAGACTTTCAATTGTATGGTTCCAAAACACTTAATTGTGCTCATGAGGAACATACAGGTAAACCAAGAGGCAGTAGTCATTCGAACAGAACAAAGGAACAGAGGAATGATTTAAAATCAGGAAAGGTATGTGCCAGCATTGTATTCTTTCACCATACTTTTCAATCTGCATGTTGAGCAAATAATTTGAGAAGCTGGATTATATGAAGAAGACTTTGGTTTGGGGCTTGAAGAAAGACTCATTAACAACCCAAGCAAATGACACAACCTTGCTTACTGAAAAAGAAGAGGACTTAAAATACTAATTTGGATCAAAAACATCACCTCACTGTAAAGAAAACAAAAATCCTCACCATCGGATCAATACATAACATCAAGATAAATGGAGAAAAGATTGAAGTTATTAAAGACTTAATGTTGCTTGGATCAAACATGAACACTCAGGGAAACAGCAGTCAAGAAATCAAATCTGCTGCACAAAACCTCTTTAAATTGTTAAAGAACAAAGATATCAGATTGAGGACCAAGGTGTATCCTATCAAAGTCATGGTATTTTCAATAACCTCATGTACATGTGAATGAATGAAAGAAGAAGACCATAAGAATTGATGCATTTTAGTTATGGTGTTTTAGAATATAAATAGTACCATGGACTGCAAAAAAACAACAAACAAATCTGTGGTGGAAAAAGAACAGCCAGAATGCTGCTTAGAAGTGAGGATGGCCAGACTTTGTCTCCCATCTGTTGTCTCTCATACTTCAGGCATATTATCAGGATGGACCAGTCACTGGAGAAGAACATCATCCTTGGTAAAGTGGAGGTCAGGGAAAAAGAGGAAGACTCCCAACGAGATGGACTGGCACAGTGGCAGCAGCAGTGGGCTCAAGCATAGCAACGATTGTGAGGTTGGCACACAACTGGGCACTGTTTTGTTCTGTTATATATAAATTCGCTATGAGTCAGACCCAACTTTTGGTCCGGTGCTTATCTTACAGGGCCACACTAGACTTCTTGGAACATTGTAGTGACTCAATAAGTATTTGAAGTCTGAAGGAACGAATAAATGAGTGACTGAATATTGGAAAGCAAAATGGAAGAAACAGAAACTCCAGGTAAATGAAACCTGCAATTCAAAGAAGCATGTAATTCTGAATTTTTGCTGATGGTACCTCAATGAATATTAGTTTAAAACAAAATGAGAAAAAACAAGGGACTTCATGCTTGCTTAACAGGAGTGAAAAAATGTAGGTAATGTCCCGACCTGCCTTCTGGATCTGTAGTTAACCAGGGAAGCCATCCCCAGCTGGAAGATTCCGGTGGAGGCAGTGAAGCACCAGACTGTCCCCGGAGTCTAGAAATAGGACCAAGGTAACTGCTCCAGAACCATAACACCCCACGTTTCTGACAGTGGAAGACTGTGTCTCAACAGAAGGCATTGTGCAGTGTGAAACAAACAACACAATTCCATCCAGTGAGTGTTCCAGTTTTCAAAACACGCATACATCCATGAATTTATTCAATTATCAAAGCAACCTGGAGGGCTATACAATCTTACTCTTTTTTATTGATAAAGAAACCGAGACACAAATGTCAGATGACATATCTGAAATCACAACAGCTAATTAGAGGGACAGGTAGAGCTACAAGTCAGTAGTTTAAAATGTTTCTCAAACAGCTGTTACACAATGATCATTTCATTTTTTTTGTCTGCAGGCTTTATATATTATATATATATCTGAAAATCTTTATTCAAATACAAGGGGGGTTGGCTTCAAAAAGTTCGTGGAAATATGCTATTATCCTTTCATTCCATTTTTCCACAAACTTTTTGGAGAATCCTTGTATTTATCCCTCATTTATACATATGAAAAATGTTAAAGTGACCAAGGTTTTCTTTTCTTTTTTTTTTTTTAACAAATGCTTTCTTACATATATATTTAGCACAATAAAAAAGAAAGAAAAAGAAGAATACTCATCATTGATTTTAAAAAGATACAGAAAAAAAGACAAAAATTTATTACCAGAACACTGAATATTAGAATAATCTAGGTCATTCTCCCAATCTCTTTGTAAGTAGGTGTGTCCACAGACCAAGTTTTGGCCATAGGAAGTGTGCAATTTTCACAGAAGGATTCGCCTTTTCTTTTCTCCCTCAATGGAAAACGGTTATGATGCTAATAACCAGATCAGCCATCTTAGGCCAAACAAATGGAATGCATGTTTTGAGGTTGGTAAAGAGATCAAAAAGGTGTTTAGGTATGTGGTACTGTGGAGGTACCAATGTTGTTGCTGTTGTTAAGTGCTGTCTAGTCATTTCCGACTTACAGCAAGCCTGTACAGGGTTTCTGAAAAGCAGCTGGTGAGTTTGAACCATCAACCTTGCAGTTAGCAGTCGAATGACTGATTACCCTATAGAACCACACCACAACCCCTAGAGATACCATGCCATGCCTAAAATGATAACATGCAGCCTGTTCCTATGTGAAAAAAGAAACTTATTGTAGCAATTGGGTCTATTGTCTTAACTC